CCCGCCATCCTGCGCTCCCACAGCTCCTCCATGCCCCCCTCCCACCCCCTTCTCACCCCCCTCTCACCCCCAAGGCCTCCCCTCCACCTCCAGGCCGCCAGGGGGCGCTCTCTGCCGCTCGCCAGCGAGCGCACGAGCGGCTTCCGCCACATCATGGCATCACTTCCGGCGGCGCCAACTTCCCCTTCCGTCCGCCTCGTTGCCGGCAGCTGCCGTTGCCGCCGTTGCCGCCAAACCCGGGAAACGCGCGCGCGCTGGGGCCGCTTCCGGTAAGAGCGGGCGGGGGGCGAGTGAAGGAGCGGCCTGGGCTCGGGGCTGCGCCTCGGCTCCTTCCGGCGGGCGGCGGGATCCGCGCCTCCCGGTAGCCGAGCCCCCCCCGTCCCGGTGAGCCCTAAGCGGGCCCGCGGCCCCGGTAACGCGGCCTCTCCACGCAGCCGAACCGCCGAGCCCCGCTCACCCCGCTCCTCCCCGCTCCGGGGCCGTTCCTCCGCTCGGCGCTCCGGCCGTTTCCCCTCGCCGTTCCCCGCTGTTTGTTGGCAGCCCCGGGCGCGGGGTCTGCTGGGTCGCTCCGTTTTCCGCAGCGTTTCCTTTGCTCCTCAAGGAAATCCCGATCCCAGGGCGGAAGCCGCCCCGCTCCGCAGCCTCCGGACGCTGCACCGATCCCGCATGGCCGCGCGGACCCGATGAGGATGGAGACCCGGGACTCCGCCGGCCACGGCTCGGGGTTCAAGGCCTTTCCCCTGCCGCCCCGGGCCGGGCTGAGGGACGTGCTCTGCCCGCCCGACACCAAGGTTGGCTCCAAAGAGGGGATGGGAGGGGGTGAGGGGGGTCCCTTTATGTGTTCGGTGGGGTGTGGGGTTCGGTTCTGGGCTCTGCGGTGTGAAATGGGGGCTGAGGACTTTGGAAGCGTCCAGAAGAAGGTGTGGAAGTCAGGGTGTTGGATGAGTGCGGTCTGTGACGACGCTGGGGTTGTGTAGAATGGAGGGGATGGGGCTGAGGGGTGACCTCAGTGTTCTGCCCCCAGGAGGGACCAGATGCTCATCTCCTCTGGTGAGTGGTGACAGAACATGAGAATGGAACAGGGCTGTGTTGTGGGGTTCTGACTGTATTGAAGGAAAACCTTTTTATCACCAGGGTGGTCAGACTCTGGGATAAGTTTCCCAGGGATTTGGGTGGTGGCCCAGGGAGGCGAGCGATGCCCTGTGCCTGCCAGTGCTTGGGACACGTTTGCACGATGCTCTCAGTCATATATCAGAACTTTGGTTCTGAAGGAGCCAGGCGGCCACACTCCATTTTTGTAGCTCCATCCCAACGGGACCCTTTTGCTTTATTCAAAAGCAGTGGGACATTTCAAGCAGCAGTCACACCAAGTGCCTGCTGTTCCCAACACTGAATGCTTCCTGAGCAGAGGCGTGCTGCAGGTGCCCTGTTGGTGCTGCTAATTGCTGATTAGCATCCTAAGCAAAGATGGAAGTTTGTGGGTGAAGTTTGCACTGGGTCTGTGTGTGCCTGTGAGTGTGTTGAGCCTTGGTGAGTTGGCCAGAGGCAGCGTAGCCCTGAGGCTGGTTTTTTTTTGCCCTGTAGTAATGTGGAAACAATGTTTGTTTTTTCTGTTTTCGTTGAAAGTGAGATCACACGGGGATTTTAGAGGGAGAAGGGAGGCTCTTTAGCACCTTTCTAACAACGTGCTGTGTTGTCAGGCTGACGAGGTGCCTTCTGGTACCTTTCTATCAGCAATTACTAATGATAACTATGTGGTGGAGGGCCAGTAACTGCATGGGGGTTTAAAACTCAGAGTTGTGCACTTTTCTAATAAAAACCTGCAATCTCTCCCCACAGTTTTTACCAAATAAGACCGGCAGCTTTGCTTGCCCAGCTGGAAATGCCTCATGCGCTCTCAATTTCAGCCAAGGTAAGATGCTCTCTTTTTTTTCCCCTTAGGTGTGTTTTTTATTTTATTTTTTTTTTCCTGTTTCCTCCCCACAGCAGCACAGGGAGGGAGATATTCCTCTTTATTAACAGCTGCCTCATTTTTTTTTCACTTGCAGAAGTCCCGTGCCCTGAGACCTACCGGACAGCAGGAGAGACACAGGGGTTTGGGTGCAGCACCAACGGGCAGTGGAGGGGTTTGGTGCCCACCCCAAGTGCTGCGCTGCCGAAGCTGAGGCTGAGCCGTGGCTCTTACCTGGAGGCTCGCAAAAACCCCAGGTGTGTGAGGGCTGCATCCACCTTCACCCACAGGCTGAGTGTTTTCCACATACAGCTGGCAGAGGAATTCCATTCTTGTGGGGAAAAAAATGAGTTGTGCTTTGACCAACCGAGGAAACCTCTTCTGACCGCTCAGCAGGAGGGGTTTGCTGCTGATCAGAAGCTCAGATGTTTGTGAGGCTCTTCCCAGCAGTGGGTGTGATGGAAGAGGGAAATGGGGGGTTTGGAGAGTAACCTTGGTGTAACCAAAAGAGGTTATACTGCTGGGAAGCTAGGAGATATGTGGCATGATGTGGTTCTGTCCTGGTTAGTGCATATGCAGCTGCCTGTAAAGGAGTGTTTCCCCAGTAGGGCAGTGCCTTTCCAGATCAGTGAAAATCTTACTCCTCTGGAAAATCCCTGTAATGGAGAACGTTTATAAAATTAATTTCAATGGGATAAATTCCAAATCAAGCCAGAGATTTCGAACAGGCTGTGAAGTGAGCCTGGCCCGTGGGAGTGGGGAGAAACGAGGTGAGAGGAGAGCATCAGTTTTTGTAAAAGAGAATGCAGAGTGTTTTTGTCAAGGCGAGATTCAGCCATTTTGTGGATGGGAAGAGGGGGAGCTGTTGGATCTGGCGGGAAGGTCTTGCTCGGGGTTTCCAGGCTGTGCTTCCTCGGCCTCGCAGTGCCACCTGCTGGCATCTGCGTGGCTGCACAATCTCTGGCATGTGTGGCTTTGGATCGAGCTGGTGGAGAGCCAGCCTTCAGTGCTGAAATAGCTTTAAAAACACAAATACAATATGATCCGAGTTAGATAACTCGATTCTCGACTGATTTTTGAGGGATGGGGGAAGGACTCGAGCACGAAACCAAAGGAACCTGTTTTGTTTCTCCTCGCAGTGGGACCTCCAATAGTTTTGTAGGAAAATCCAACCACCATTGCCATGGGTCAGCATTTCCAATCAAACCTGCCCAGAGCCCCTCCTGGAGCGGGCCGTGCCGCCGCAGCCTGCTCAGCCCAAAGAAAACTCCGCGGCGGTTCATCAGCACTGCGGAGGAGGTAAAAGCAAAGGTTGGGTGGGAGGCCCCTCAGTGGGTGGCTCCATCCGAGCTGGTTGCTTCTGAGCATCACAAAGAGCTCGAGGCAGGTCTGCCTTGTGCTGGATTCTCTCCTCCTGGCTGACAGAACAAGAGCATTTCGACTTTGTCACGCGTCTGCTCAGTGTGCGTGGTGTCTTTGTTTAAACCATGATAGAGTCCTCTGGTTGTTTCTTTGCAGACTGTTCGAGAGGAGGAGCGAGAGATCTACAGGCAGTTGCTTCAGATGGTCACAGGAAAGCAGTTTTCCACGTCCAAGCCCTCTTCGCTCTTCCCCTTCCATCTGTGAGTTATGTAAAATGCTCATTTCCAGCACGGAGTGTGCATGCATTCTCTGAGAACTAACTTTCTGTTGCTCCTAGGTCCAGGTGCTCAAATTCCAGCAAAACCATACTGAAAGAAACTCCCAGCAAGAACTCAAAGCTGTTTGAAGCTCACAGCATTGCACCAGCCAGCTCAGCAACCAGCATTCTCGGGGCACAGGAGCAGCCATCGCACAAACCACCGCTCTACTCCATGCCCAGCTATCCCTCCCATATCTTTGAGTCCCGTAACTCCACAGCCCAGCATCAGCAAGAAAATCTACCAGCATCCAACACTCAGTCTGAAGGTAAAAACCAAAAGCAAACAAGCAGTCAAATGTATGTGGGAAAAGCACTTATTCCCTTCTCTGTACTTGGACTTCAGCACAGTTTGGTAACTCAGTAGTAATTGTAAGAATAACAATATTCCTCAATTTTATCCTCTGTAGGATCAGACTCGGTCATTTTGCTCAAAGTAAAGGATTCCAGAACCCCAGCTCCAAGGTGAGAGGCTGTAAATTGCATCTAGAGCAAACAAGGGCAGGGGGAAGTTCACACAGTCTTTTTTGGTTTCACTGAGAGGTGAGATTGCAGATAAAAAGTGACTGTGACTTTGTGAATGCTTCACAAAGGGAGAGCAGTTTGCCATAGATACCAGCACTGGAGAGTGATGCATCAATCTCTTTCTGGAGACCTGGATGCAAATCACTGTCAGATCTGTCTGTAGCTCTTATCGCTCTTAGAATAAAGATGCCCTCAGATATTACTCACAAATCACTTTTCAGACAATTACTTTCCATGCAAAGGAGAATGCTTACGCATGTCCTTCTCCCTTTCCTAGCCTCCCATTCTTCCAGGCAGAACTATGGATCAAGGAATTGTAAGTAGATGTTTTCTGCTTTGTTTTCCCATCACAAGTGCTCGTGTATTTCTAAATGCTGTCTTGTTCAAACTGTGCTTTTCAGGACCAGTGTCTACGACTCGCGAGCTCGGGAGAGGTGGCGGCAGATTGAGGAGCAGAAAGCTCTGGCCTTACAGCTGCAGAGCCAGGTGAGAGAACAGTTACTGAATGAGCAGTCTCTGAGTCAGAACTTCAAACCACAGAGTAGGAAGCTGATTGGGAAGAGAATGGCCAAAATCTGCGCTCTCACATCCAGTGGCTTTGTTACTTCTCCTTGCTGCGGCTGGGCGCTCAGTAGCACCGTGGCCAGGCTGGATGCTGCCCCTTTCTGCATCTCCTGGAACAATTGGCTCCACGAGGCTTCCTCACAAGCCCCATAGAGGTGGCTCCTTTGTCTCTGTGTAATCCAGAGGTCTCCCCTTCAGCGATTGCAGGAGCAGGAGCACTCGGTGCAGGACCTGGTGGATTTGAACCTTCGTGTGCCTCTCGAGAAGGAAATCCCTGTCACGGTGGTCCCAGAAGAGAAAGATGGTGCCAAGTCAGCTGATGGTGAAGAGGAGTTCCCTGAAATCACAGAGGTAAATCTCTTTGTCTGGTGGGCAGTCAGACATCTGTGTGGAAGTGCTTCTGAATACGAACATCATTTTCTGAGGTCAGTGCACAGACACTGATAGCTGTGACCTTTTGTTGTGTGTTTTATAGTGGGTTTATCCTTTGAGGAGCAAAGAACAAACAGTGGTTTGAATGTAGCCCTTGTGATGGTTACAGTAGGAGCTCTCCCTTCCAACAGTGTTTGTGTTCTCCCTCTAGGAAATGGAAAAGGAAATAAAGAATGTATTCCGAGGAGGAAATCAGGATGAGGTCCTCAGTGAAGCCTTTCGGTTAACGATCACCCGGAAAGACATCCAGACCCTCAATAATCTGAACTGGCTCAATGATGAGGTGAGCAGTCCGTGCTGTGCCACTGGGACTTTGTTTAAAGTAGGTTAAAGTGAACAGGTGTCTGCCCTCTCCTTGCCTAAGGAAGTCAGAATAGGCTGTGCTTCGTGCTCTGGATTGGTTAATCTGAGGAGAAATCCCTGTGTAGAGCAGGCACTTGAAAAAATAGTAATAGTGGGACGAGAAGAATTGGGAGTGGATGCTATCAGGGCAGAACTTGTAAAGCTTAATCTTAGGGGGACTGTGTGCTTAAATATTTCTGGATTTCTTTGAAAGGATTCAAAGTGTTTGAGCTGCTGTAAATCCTGGTAGAGGCAGTTCTAACGAGTAGCAGTGGAGGTGAAAATAATTCCTTTGTTTTTTTTTTTTTTCCCAGATAATTAATTTCTATATGAATTTGCTGATGGAGCGGAGCAAAGAAAAGGGTTTACCAACAGTTCATGCGTTCAATACTTTCTTCTTCACCAAATTGAAAACAGCGGGGTACCAAGCTGTGAAAAGATGGACTAAAAAAGTGGATATCTTCTCAGTGGACCTCCTTTTGGTGCCTATTCATCTGGGAGTGCATTGGTGCCTAGCAGTGAGTGCTTCTGTTACGGAGCAGACCATCCTATAAACTCACCTGTGACTGAATCACAACATCTCATGGCTCTGCAGAGGGGTGTTTGGGTGTGGGGAGGGGGAAGATGCACGTTTGTGGCTAAAAGCAGAACGCGAAGGGAGTGAGAAGGGAGCTGTAGGTTTGCTGTCTTTCTTGTCTTTGACTAGTCTTCAAAAAGGAAAAAAAGCTGTGAGGTTCACGTCAGGTTGTAGCCTGCTCTCTGGGGAAGGATCTCATTTCCACATTCCCACAAGTTTGCCTTTAGAGGCACTGCTGTGGGATGGTTTCAGAAAGATGCAGACACGATACGGTGCAGCTTTCTGTGCCTCCTGCTCCAATGTGTTACGTCCCTTCTCGTGGCACCTGGGCAGTGCTGGATCACATGTGGCCTCTCAGATTCCTTCTGCTTCATCCCTTCGATCCTCAGTGCACTGTTCACTGCCCAGCAGGGATGGGCACACATGAGTGGCTGGGTGTGAAAATGGAGCGTGGGGCAACAAAGCACAGAGCTCAGCACACAGACGTCAGGTGGGGCAGAGCCTTCTGTAAGCAGATCTGTCAGCCTGCTGCTGGGACAAAACAGATAACAGTGCTCTTGTGTTCGACTGGGCTGCTCTGAGGAGAGCCTGATGGAGAGATTTGAGTGCTTAAATAACATGGTAGCACAGGGAGGTTTGGGGGGGGCTGTGGCGTGCCAAGGAAGTTACAAACCCTTCACTGCTCTGAAGTGGTTTAAACTTCCTTTTAACAAAGACTTCGGCTCACAAAGCATGTATCCTAGCATTGGGGTGAGCTGCTTGTCTTCTGCATTGCTAATTCTGTAACGAATCTCTCTACGTAGGTTGTCGATTTCAGGAAAAAGACCATCACCTACTATGACTCCATGGGTGGAATAAACAGCGAAGCCTGCAGGATACTGTTGTGAGTAACACTTGAGTTGTACCTGTTAAAATCCAGATGGCTCCTTGGTGTGCACAGGTTGCAAAGCGACGGCTGTTGTGTGGGAGCAGTTCCTGTCTGGGCACTGAGAGGGGGAGTGAGAAGCGTTCTGGTTCTCATGCTTGGTTTCATCACTCACTGCTGATGCAGTCCCCGTTACAAAGTCAGTCTGCAAGAGACTCCTGCATAGATTCTGTCTTCTCTTCGCAGAAAATCCCTCAGTGAGGCTGCTGTTCCCTGTGCAGGTATAAACAGGTGTCAGACCCATTCTGTTAAGGGCATCAAGCACTGCCAGTCTTCCTGGGCATCATCTTTAGACGGAAACCAACGTCTCAGACCCTGAGGATCAGGGGTCCTGCAGTTGCTGGAAGAAATGGCGTCTTTCAGCCATTCCACAGATGGAGACTTTTCCTCTCTGTGGCAAAGAACAGCTCAGTAATTTGGCCCTTTGTTTCAAGGAGCTTCTGAAGAAGCACAGTGGTGCCTTTGAGCGCGGGAGAGTCTTGGATCAGAACGTGGATGAAGGTTTGTGCAGATCTGAGCTCCACCAGGGCATCCTGTGCCTCCAAATGAGGCTGGATGGAAGCTGCTCTTCTTGACTTCAGACCCTAGGGGTCTTGCTTTCACCCTCCCAGGCAATGCTGTGGGTAGGAGTGAAGGTGGCTCCTGGCTCTGCTGACTTCTCATAGAGGAGGGGTGCTTGCCTGGCTAATTCAGTATTGGGCAGCTTGGTGCTGTGTTTTCCCATCTTTGGAAGCAGTTGTTGGGAGCATGCTAAAAATGAGCTGCTCCTCCCAGGGGAGGAAAAAGGCCGTTTCCCTACGGCACGTTGTCATGCAGGGTCGTCAGGCTGATGCAAATCAGATTCCAGAGTGATTAATGAATCGCAGTTGCTGGCCCCTCTGTTTTTGCAGTGCTGACCCCAGGTCGTCCTTTGGTTCTGTTTCTCATCTCAGCTCTGATGCTGATTGGGAACCTGATCCTGAGTCTTCTGGCGTGAGGTTGAGTGTGTCAGCAGAGGTGCCACTCATTCAGTCGAGGAATGTTAATGATGATAAAGGCAGACAGGAGACAAATGCTATTTAATCATTTCCAGTCCATTTAGTGTCTTTTCCAGTTCAGGTGTTCTGCAGTCTGCACATACTGGGTTTATTTAAATAAATATAAACGTGGTTGTTTCCCGTTTTCCACAGTGTAGTGTTGGTTTAAAGGGAGGAAATGGAAACGTATGAAATCTTTAGGAATGGCTCAGAGCGGTGTCTCTTAGCTTTGCTGTGTTCCTTGTGCCTCTTTCTTCAACGTTTGTCTGAGATTGATGCAAGCAGAGCTGGCCTGCCTTGGGGCAGGGATGATCTGGGTGAAATTAGCTCCTTTCAGCCTGAATTTCTTTGATTCTGAGGAACAAAGCACGGACATCTGGTGAGGCAAAGCACCTGGGAGGTGAGAGGGGGACACAGGAGTCCCATCTGCAGTTCATTTAGGGGTCTGGGGTGAGGAGGCAGGTCTCCAAGCTGGCTGTAGTGAGCACCAGAGGATACAAGGTGTATGGTCCCATGCAGGATCAGTGGTAGAAACCCAGGATTTCAGGTCACTGTTGCCCTGGACGTAATTGTTTTCCCTCTGTTTCCTTTTAGGAGGCTTTTATTGGTTGAATGCAGTGGGAGGATCACTCCGGGAAGAAGGGACGGAGGTCCTATTCATGGTTAGTGACCCTTTCATGCTTTCAATCTTTAGAGCTTCCTAAAGGTGGTGAGTGTCTCACAGCTAGCCAGATCTTAGAGGGACATGGATGCAATACAATGCCTGCTGGCCAGGCCGGGTGCTGCAGGGGCTGCAGATGTTTGCAGTCTGGTAGCTGGGCCTTGCTGCTGAGCCTGGTTTGGCATCTGGGCTTTCACACAGCTTGGCTGTGAGTCCTGGAGAGAGTTGCCAGAAAGCTGCCCCTGCTTTGTCAGGGCTTTTCCTTGAGGAAAAGCAGCGCTTTGGCACTGCTGGAAGGTCGTGCACTGGAGCAGATGTAAACTGACCTGTTGCAGTCAGTTACTTGATTCTGGTGTATTGGTGCTGGAGGAAGAAGGCTTAAGGGGTAGAGCACGCAAAGCTGGTCGTGCCTGTGAAATCTTCCAGTGCTGCTGCTAGCAGGAGATAAGAAGTGTTCACCTTCGTGTGCCGTTTTCTTCAAGGCTTTTAGACATTTGCAGTTGCTGATTTCAATAATTCCTCGAGACACCTGCTCAGGATTTTGTGTGTGAGCTGTAGAGGGCGAAAATCCACTTTCATGTTTAGGAAAATGAGATTAAAAGCCTGCAGTATTTGATGGGGGATGTCAGGCGTATTGGTTTCTGATCTGGCAAGTTAATTATGTTTAAAAACCTTTGTGTCAGGCTTCTCTCCTCAAGGTGTTCACCTGGCACAGCGAAGTCCTGCCTCCCTGAGCAGTCTCGCAGGTTGAAGCTGAGGCATTTTCCTTCAGTTAACCTCCTTAGGAAGTTGTTCAAGCTGTCACCCAGGCAGGATCAGCTCCGTGCAGTGATGCTCTGTGTTCTGTGTGCCTGCCAGGTTGCTGGAGGTTGCTTCTGGGAAGCAGCAGAGGTGTGATGGTCACAAGTAACTGTGAGCTGTGCTTGGGGAGTTACTGCCTTGCTCTTCAAGAAAACAGCTCCGAATCTCCTACTGCTGTGTGTGTGTTGGCAGCAGAGCTGTGGGTTGTGATAGCTGCAGATAAAGCAGAAGGGGAGGCAGAAACCAGCGGATTGCCCAACCCAGACTGTTTAAGTCTCACAGCTTTCTTCCCTCCGTGCCAGACGGAGTCTCACGCTCAGCTCCACCCCTGCTCTGCGCTCAGCATCGTGTGGTGCTCATCCTGGATCCCTGTGGGCTGCAGCCCTTCCCTGGGCTGTGCTGCTCTTTGCTTTGTCTGAGGATTCGAGTGGGTTCTGGTGGCAGGCAATAACAGCCAGGATTTTTGTTCCTGGTGGTTGAAGCGCGGCTGCTAATTAAGATTTGCGCCGTGTTTGTGTTGTTGTGGTTGCAGATATTCAGCTCGCCCTTACTTTGAACTTGCTGCAAGGATCTTCCTTTCTGTCCACGAGGATGTTTTTGGGTGTGAGATATGGAGAACTTCTAACGCTCAATGAAAGTTTTTCTGTTCTGGGATTTACCCCCTGCTGATGTTGTCTTGTCCAAACTGCAGCAGTCAAAGCAGCCCAGCAGAGCTTCCCGAGAGCAATTACAGCAGCTGCTGGCAGCCAGCAGCCCCTGTGCTGGGAAACTGGGCTCTGAGCGTGTGTCTGGCTAATGAGGGCTGATAGAAAACGCTTGTCTGGACCTGATGTAGTCTCAGGGGATGGCTGGAAGGGAGGCTTCTCTTCTCGTCATTTTTTACACCCAGCAAAACCTATTTCTGGTTGTTTTGTACAGATGTGATGGTGAGAGAGGGGCTCTCCGTGCTGTGTGGTTCTGCTGCTCTTTCTGTTGCTTCCTTCTGTGTCTCTGATGTGCCTGGGGTCAGCATCCTGCAGGGGGATGGTGGTGCTGAGCAGGTGGCAGCTCTCACCCTCAGGAGGGTGACTTCCCCAGCAGCTGCATTAGCTTTGGAAGGGCCCATCTTGTGGCACTTCAGAGGTCTGTCCTGTCTGTAAGTGCTTTTTCTCTAACTTGCCTAAAATTTTCTTGAGCCACATGCACATTCTTTTCTCTTTTTATTTGGTGCTGTGGAGCCAACGTGCCCAGCTTACCCCCACGTCTCTTGGGCTCACCTGTGGGCTGTGTGCCCCTGTTCTCCCATCTCGTTTTGGAGTTTACTCATGGTGAGATGTTTTATAGCCATGTTTCTGGGGATCACGCTTCCAAAAGATGGCACATCCCCACCCCTCACTGGTGACCAAAGCCATGTCTGTGCCAGGTGCTCTGTTGACCCCTCTGCTCCTTTCCAAGCTTCCTGATCACAGCTGCAACAGTGAGAAGACTCTTCAAATTGTTTTGAGAAGATGCCAAATAGAAACAGGTGGTTTTCGTAGATCATCTCAGTCCTTAACCAAGATGAAATGAGGGCATCTACAAACCTGAAAGTCACTTAAAGACGTGGCAGCCGACAGAGAGGGGCTCCTTTAGGCCCTGAAGAATATCTTGGACCCATCACTACTGTCTCCTTGGATGACCTAAAGAGAACATTTGTGTCAGTGCCCTTCTTGAGCTCCCCTTCCATCCATCCCAGTAAAGGAAATAGCACAAGGTGTTTGTGTCTACGTGGGAAAGAGCAGATCTGGCTGTTGGGGTTGAATTTCCCCATGGCTGCACCCCCTCCCCTCCATTCTTGGACCTCATTTGAGAAAACTGGGGCTGCTGGGCTCATTTTTGTCTCTCAGCTCATGATGTGTCTCTTCTTGAAAGCGCTCTCAGTTTGTCCCACCGTAGTGAAGAAAACCTCAGATCAGTGTTGGAAGGGAAACCAGGAGGAAGAGCTCTGGAAGAACATCTGCCAGCGTGTCCAACCTGCTGCCAGCCTGCAGAGCAGCTCCGTGCTGTGCTTTGGTGCCTCACACACAGGGCGATTGTTGCAGAGCTGCTGGGACGCTGTTATGGTTCTGACACATCTGCTGCCATCTCCGTTTCTGCTAAGCAAGATCCTCAAAAGATGAGAGGCAGCGACTCAGGACGTGTCGGAAGCCATCCCAGACGTCTCCTTGAGCACAAGGCTCCATTTGCAGAGTGCTGAGGCAGCCCGGTGGCTGCTGAGATTTGCTCTGCTCTGAGTCACTCTGCAATGAATTAGATTTGTGCTCCCTGGTTTATTTGTGGTTTTGACTCTCTGCTCGGCAGGTACTTGTTTTGGATGAGTTTTTGGGTTCTGCTTGGTCCTTCTTTGGACTGCCTCAAAGCCTGGGTCTACAGAGCCCTTATTAAAATGGCCAGTACCGAGAAGAAAATATTGGACTTCCATTTTGCATTAATTCTGCAAACATGGCAGAGGACACTTTAGGTAAACTGACATATAGTGTTCTGGCTAGTTCTGCCTGTTCCTCTAAATAAGCTTTTTTTCTTTCTTTTTTTTTTTCATTCTCTCATTCCTACAGGCAGTACTTAAAACAAGAAAGCCTTGATAAGAAAAGGAAAGAATTTGACACCAATGGGTGGTCGTTGCTGAGTAAGAAGAGCCAGGTGGGTTTGTGCACTCGAGGTGTGCAGGAGGGGTCTGGGTTGGTCCTTGCTTTTGTCCTTGGCCCAGATGCAGCTCTGCTGGCTGCTTTACCTGGCAGATTTGTGCTCGTGGGAACTGTAGGGGGTGAGCAAATCACAGGTCTTCAGTGGCAGGCTGCTCTGCTGCAGTTTCCCATCCAGCCCTGAGGGGAGGACATGGGGGGGGATCCCCAGTGCCCCTCCATCCCTGCTGCACAGGGCTCACCCACCCTCTTGTCCTCAGCTCCCGTTTGCTGTGCAGCTCCCACCTGCTCTTCGTTTTGGGGAGGCCCTTTGCTGGGAGCTGTCTGTTCTCCCAGCTGACAGGAGGGCTCTGATTTGTGGATGCTCAGCTCTGTGTCCTCTCATTCCAGGAGATCCCACAGCAGATGAACGGCAGCGACTGTGGGATGTTTGCCTGCAAATACGCCGACTGCATTACCAAAGACAAACCCATCAACTTCACTCAGGTAATCCCCCCCATCCTGACGTGTGCCACGTGCTTGGGGTACATATTTGCACCCATCCAAGTGCCTTCTGCTCCCTTCTCCATTGGTTTGAAGCCCTCAGTGGGGATCAAACTGCTGTTCCTCGGAGCAGAGCTGACACAGGGTGCTGGGGCAGTTCTTCCTACCACGCCAAATTCCTCAAGAGTCCTCCTCATGTCTTCTATTAAAACACACAGGCACGTCACCGACGTCAGCCCATAATGGGTCCCAGTCATTGCTGTAATGAAAGCGGGGCATTGTAGCCTGAATCCAAAGGAATTTGGGATTACCTGATGTCAGCCCCCATGGAGTATCCCATGCAAGAGTATTTTGTTATTAGGGGAATGTCACTGAAGTGATGTTCATTCTAAATTCTCATTCCCTGCTTTGTTTTCAATAACCTGAAAGTCTCACCCCCAACCCCCCCCCACCCCCCTCTAAGAAAAAGGCTTCCCCTACAAAAGCTGCCCCCAGGAGATGCTGAGGATGCGCTGATGTTTGTTTTCTTTGTCTTTTTTCCCCTTCCAAAGCAACACATGCCCTATTTCCGGAAGCGGATGGCCTGGGAAATCCTGCACCGCAAGCTGCTCTGATGCCCGGCGCCGCCTCGTGCGGCTGTCCCAGAAGTGCCCTGCTGTGCTCTGCTCAGCCCAGGGCTCAAAAGAAACAGCAAATGAACTCTGTTATTTTTGATAAAAAAAAAAAAAAAAAAACCACCATTCACGGACCAATGCGCAATAGAAATGTTCAGAAGCACACTTGCCTTTTTTTTTTTTTTTTGTATTTTGAGACCTATTTTTACAAGCATTTTCAGGTGCTGAGATTCAAGGGGGGCAGCTTTGGCTATGGGAGGAAATCTTATTTTTTTTTTTTCTGCTTTTTCAGCCCTTTTTGCAGCCAGCTTTGTGCTGATGGTGTGACTCTGGGGGTGTGTGCTTGGGGGGGGGGAGGGAGAAGGGGGCAATTCAGGGGAGGAGAAAGCACTTATGTGGGTCTGGGTGCTCAGCACACTCAGAGAACTCTGCTCCCTTCTGAGTGATGTGGGCAAAATGTATTTCTGGGCAGATGCAAGGAGGATTTGCCCTTAGAATCCAGTGTGGGGTGAGCAGCTTGGATCTCCATCTGTTAAAGCAGGGAAGGGTTCAGCCCCTTTTTGCCAATGGAGGTGGCTCCGATCCAGAGCGTTTCTGCTGTGTCTTCTCCCTCTGTGTCCCCCTGCATTCTGTTCTCACAGCCAGCATTTCGTGGGGCAGCTCTGGGGCTGTGGTGGGGGGTCTCTGCAGGAGCTGCTGGGGGCTCTGTGTGTCATTTCATTTTTGCAGAGCCGCTTTTCTGCCCGTGGACCCCATCCTCCTCCCCATTGTGGAGCATCGACTGTTTACAGAAACTTCAGGTACACTTTTGACTGTAGAGTGGAGCCGACGCACCACCGGATGGTTCTGCACCTCTATCTGTTTCCAGGCAGTTTTTTTCAGAGCAACAAAGAACAAAAAAAAATCTGCACGATTCGCTTCTCCTCCTGGCGGGGGTTGAGGCTTTTGCCACCTTTGTCCTCATGCAGCAGCCCCGGCCGAGCAGAATGAATGGCTCCTCTCTCCGTGATATTTTGCACATGTTTCACCCGTGGTCGGGGGCGTTTTGGGGGGGGGCTGAATGCTGCCAGCAGTGCAGAGGCTGCAGCCTTCAGCTGAGAGCTGCTTCCAAAAGGGATCCGCGGCGCTCGGTGAGGCTCTGCATCCCCGTCCACCGGTGGGAGAAGGGAAGCATTCAGAAGCCCTCAAAGCAGCAGTTGGGATCAGGGGGGCCCTCGAGGCTTCTGGAGGTTTTGCTCCGATGGGGCTGTGCTGCTCCTTTCCCCTGTTTTAATTTATTCTCGATGGTGATGTGGGAGGAAGCAGCAGTGCGTGCCAGGCTTCCCCTGCAGCTGACCCTGGTTCTGTTCTCTCGTGTACATAACCTTTTTAAGCCTAAGGAAAGAATGGAATAATGTCCACTTTTGTATTTTTGTCTCCAGATGTTGCGGGGGGGGGAGGGGGGGTGACATTTTATACATTTTCTGTACCTGTAAGCAGTAGTTTTGTACAAAAAACTTCGCCCTCCTTCGCGCCTGCCGGGTTGTGTTCTTTGTACGCTGGTTTGGATCCTCCCTCTCCCCTCTGTGTGTTTTGTACTGAGTTCCATTTATTACCTTTTTCTATCTTTTACTGCAAGTAAAGATCTGAGAGGAGAAAAACAAACAAACAAACACCCAAAAACCTGTTTTCTTTCCTTCGTCTGCATCCTTGGTGCTGCCCTGCGTGCCCGACCTCCTGCCTGCCTGCTGCAGGACGGGCTGCGAGCTCTGCTTTGGGGGGGAAAGGCTGCTTTGCATCACTCACTTCTCGTTAAAATAAACCCTCTCAGCAGGTCGGGCGCTGAGCAGACAGAGGCAGTTCAGTGCTCGGCGGCGCAGAGGGAGGAAACAGCCCCAGCTTTCTCTGAAAGTGAATGGGAGCTGAAGGCCCTTCTCAGCGCATGCTGAGCTCCCTCCGCTCCGATTTTGGAGGCTCTCAGTTCTTCCCCCCCCCCTCCCCTTTCCAGAACTGCAGTTTGCGGCCGGAGCTCAACGCTGCCCTTTGTTTTCCTTCCGAAAAAGCCACGGAGGGAATGCTGTGTCAAAGGGGGTCTGTGCCCTCCGCGTCCCACTGCTGCCCCAGCCTCTGCGGCCACCAAAAATGCATTCAGCATTTATCCCTGCCTTATTAATAGAATAAATCACGTCGCCCGCCCTTCCCCAGCTGGGGATTTTCAGGTCATATTGACTTTTTCCTCCTTCCTCCATCCTTATTCCTAGACGTGTTT